CTTTGTTACATGATGCTGAATTACCTAATGTTGTGTCATCTAATACTGTTAGTAAATGTGCATTTTTGCCTATAATATAATCAAAATTATGCATAGACAATATTAAAGAATATGTGACTGACCCGAAACACTTGATGTTACTGATGTATCTGTTGTCACACAATCGACTATATGGTATGAACAAGATGACTCATACTAATATTTAGGAAACAGTATGATTTACCTTTGTTAGCTTTTTTATTAACAAATTTCAAGAAATCTGTAACACCAGTTGAATACCCTCCATCTGTGCCTATTTTGCAGTGGTTTTCACAAAAGGCTGAAATTGACTCCATGAGTAATGGTTGTGATTTGTAAAGTAAGGCAGTTGAACTAAAAATTAGTGTACAATTGATATTATGGATTTATCATAGAGTATGGTGATTCCACACTAACTTTCATTAAAGATAACTGTTATGTATTGATATATTATTTTGGTATTCATTCCTATTATTATTTTTTAAGGTATTTTGATTACAGTTATTTCTAGTATTATTATTATTGATATTATAATTATTACTACTACTACTATTATTATTACAATTATTATTATTCTTGCATTGCTGTACAATATTATTTCTTTTCCTTCTAGCTGATGCTTATGATTTACTATGCTTATTAGTTCATGTATACTGATTCTGATTGTTGTGTAATTTTTTGTCATTGTGGTGTAATATGATGTGATACTGTTTGTATATAAGTGTATGCTCTTTTCATTTTTGTCAGAAGAGATTTTAGCCTTTTTACAATAAGTCAATATTTACAAAATACAAAGGTGAAGCTCTCTCCATTCGGTCACTACAATAACAACAATAATATATAGAACAACAAAATGAACCCTTCAGTGGTGGTGAAATACAAGGAATAAAGATAGAAAATCTCAGGAAGCTAGCACAATGTAAAGATGCTATAAATAGAAATTTACATAAATGCAAATGGAGTGACTAAGTGGGTTTCAACTTTAGTGCATGCATGCTTTTCATTCTTGTTCCATGCATATGTGTGAAACTCTTTTGAAGTCCACTTTAAATTATAGGTAAAAGATCACTGAGATTAAGAACACATAATTGTTGCTTGTTCTCCTAAACAGCCTGAACAGGATCATTCTGTAGCAGGTGCATGTGATACTAACATTACAGTTTGTTATATGTAATGTTTCAATTTTTTTCAGTTAGAAGATCATTTCGATTGAAAACAAGAATTACTGATGGAGCAGTACAATTTTCCTGCAGTAAAAAAAACAAATTACTTCATGAAACTTATTGCCTGCATTGTGGAGAAAAGTTTAAGAAGGGAGAGAGGCATCAGATGGTGGGATGTGATCAGTGTACGAGGTGGTATCACATGAAGTGTTAGAAGTGTGACGTGAACAAATTTTGGACATGTGAAAAATGTAAGATAAATTTATCACAAATTTTTATAAGTTTTTAACATTGTAGGTTATATAACTGATAAATAAACTAGAAAGACATTATTACTCCCGTTATACATAACATACACCATAGTAAATATTCTATTGTTGGTTATTAAAGTTATTGCAAATGATAATTTAAAGTGCAACAGTGCAACAGTGCAACAATGCAACAGTGCAACAGTGCAACAATGCTACAGTGCAACAATGCTACAATGCAACAGTGCTACAATGCTACAGTGCAACAGTGCAACAATGCTACAGTGCAACAATGCAACAGTGCTACAATGCAACACTGAGTGCAACAGTGCAACAATGCTACAATGCAACAGTGCAACAATGCTACAATGAAACAGTGCAACAGTGCTACAATGCAACAGTGCTACAATGCAACAGTGCTACAATGCAACAGTGCAACAATGGTACAGTGCTACAATGCAACACTGAGTGCAACAGTGCAACAATGCTACAATGCAACAGTGCAACAATGCTACAATGAAACAGTGCAACAGTGCTACAATGCAACAGTGCTACAATGCAACAGTGCAACAATGGTACAGTGCTACAGTGCTACAGTGAAACAATGCAACAGTGCTACAGTGCACCAATGCTACAGTGCAACAATGCTACAATGCAACAGTGCAACAGTGCTACAGTGCTATACAGTGAAACAATGCAACAATGCAACAGTGCTACAATGCAACAGTGCTACAGTGAAACAATGCAACAATGCTACAGTGCAACCATGCAACAGTGCAACAGTGCTACAGTATGGAACGCCAAATGCGACAAAATTATTCCGTGATGATGATAATAGCTCTATGGAATGATGATGAGTGATAACGATATTCATAGCCTAAGGGTAGGAGTGGCAACAGATGTAATTGAATGGGCGTGTTCAAATTAAAATGGAGCCAGCAGACATTGACCTCAACCTTAGCCTCAATCCTCTCTTTGAACATATAGAGTCTGTTCTACTGGATGTCATTCGTATTAGATCGCAAGATGAGGAGAATGGGGAAGAAAATCTATTAGAAGGAATCCTGCACAATCTTTATGATATTCTAGATATCTTGGTGACCCTTGAAGCTACATGATAAGCGAGGTTGATGTTCACCTGGAGGAATTTATTGATGTTTTATTACCTCTTGCTCACATCATGGAGGAACATGTCACGCGTACTAATTCGAGGTATTGGAGACTGGGTAGACCCAGAGTAAAAATAGATGAAGTTCAACTCGAATTCCTAATTGAAAGTAGCTTTAGAGTATCTGACATTGCAGCAATGTTTGGATGTTCAAAACGGACAATAGAAAGAAGGATAAATTACCTGGGGCTCAATCGATATTCATGTATATCAGAGAATGACTTAGACAGTCGTGTCAGGGAAATTATACAAATGCATCCTAACTGTGGTGAAAAATCTGTGACCGGTCGATTAAGAAGCTATGGAATAAGAGTGCAGAGGCAAAGAATACGTGATTCTCTTGAAAGAGTTGATCCTGATGGTGTAGTTAATTGTATGAGGCGGGTGCTGCACAGGAGGAGTTACACAGTACGTTCCCCTAACTCACTTTGGCACCTAGATGGCTATCATAAACTGATTAGGTGGAAATTCGTGATACATGGAGCTATCGATGGGTTTAGCCGGTTAATTATGTTTCTAAAAGTCTCAAACAACAATCGTGCCAGTTCTGTTCTCTCAGGATTTATGGAAGCTCTTCAAGAATATGGCCTTCCTTCTCGGATTAGAACTGACAGAGGGGGAGAAAATGTTCAAGTCTCCGAGTACATGCTTCGCCATCCTGACAGGGGTCCTGGTAGAGGTAGTGTGATAGCAGGTCGTAGCATACACAACCAAAGAATAGAAAGGCTTTGGCGAGATCTGTACTCTGGATGCATATCGTTTTTTTATAACTTCTTTTACTTTCTTGAAGATGCAGGATTACTTAATATTAATGATCCTTTAGATCTGTACACACTACACTTGGTTATGCTTCCAGTTATCCAACACCAGTTGGATTTATTTCGTGAAGGTTGGGCAAACCATTCACTGAGGATGGAAAACAATAAAACACCACTCCAACTTTGGACAACTGGTTTTGTGAACTGTGATTTAAATAATAGAGAAGTGACTGGCTTAGAGTCTGATGTAAGCAATGTAGTGTGTAATTTATAGGGAAGGTATTACACCTTAGGCATTAAAGCATTTGGATGTGCTAATATTCTAATAATTTTTTGACATAATTATTATTAAAATGCAAAAATCAAATTACATGTCGATTTTAATTTTTCTTTTGTTGTACATTGCACATATAATCTTATATTTATTTCCTCTATAACAGGTATTTCATGGGCAGCATGAAGCAGTGGCTGATAGAAACAACGATACAGTTATAGTTGATGAGCTACCGCAGTATCTTAGCCAGAGAGATTATGAGTGGCTTCAATTGCAGCTCAATAGCACAGATGGGTTCTCTCAAGAAGTTCTGCTTTGTAACTATGTCATTGCAACTGCTTACATACATAATAACTGTGATTTGTAACATCTTGTATTATTACCAAGTATCAAAAGTGATTAACTCTTGCAAACAATAGGGAAAGTGATAATACAATAGGGAAAGTGATAATACAATAGGGGGAGTGATACATGAGTTTTAATAATGTTTAATTGAGTCCTGAGCTTTATAGCCTTCCAAAAAGAGGACTACCTTTAACGGCCATATGAAAAGAATCGACAAAGCTCTCCAAATTGTTATGACTGGTAGGTAGCCTGAGTGTGAGATCACAAGTACTGGCTATGGGTACAGTGTCAGAAGTATATAGAAAATCAATCTTGGGTTGTGTGTCAAATCCTTGAGGTGGCACATTGTCTGTACCAGTAAAAAAAAACCAAAACATCTGAGATTGTACAATCAATACACTGACCACAATCGTCTAATAAGGTAAATTCAGAGTAAAAAGCACAATAGCTATAACTACCTTCACACATATCCAAAAAATTGCAAAAAAACCTCCAGGATTGCTTTTCAATGGGTTCAAGAGAGTCAACTTCTAAGCCACATTCAAATTTAAATAATGATTTTAATTCCTCTAAAAACTAAAAATAAAAAAAGAATGAAAAAAAATCCTAACCAGCTGTCAGTTTCTTTTTAATGAGAACAAACATGTGCTTTAACACAGAGGGTGACTCCCGAACAAAATCAAGTACTCCAGTGACACATAACCCCTCAATAAATTGATCCATTTCAGATTTGACTTTTAGAAAACAATGGTAGGCTACCAAAATGGATTGGATGTTATCCTTGTTATCTAAGCCCAGATTCAACACAGGCTTAGTATAGCCAGTGGCATATAAAAATTCAGTGGCCTCATCAACTTGAAACACTGCTTGAATGTCGTCTTTTGAGTCTGCCGTATCTAGCTGTAAATGTAATAATAAATTGATAAAGGTCTAATTATTATTTAATTACTTTATCCAAAATGTACTTCAAAATTCCATAAGGGATACAATCTCTGTCAATATCAATAGTACACGATACAGCTCCAGTAACAAAATATTCATATACCAAGTGATGAAAATACGGAAACCCATTACCTCCCTGAGTCACTGACATGCCACAGTATTGGCCCAGTGCAAAAAGAACTCTATTCTAAAAATGAAAATTAGTTTAAGAAATCACATTTAGTCAGGGGTCATACAATATTTGCTAAAACAGTTGTAGGTGTTTGATACATACCTGAACAGCTAAAGCATTGGTGGTAAAAAATTTACCAAAATCCCCAATCAGATACTTAGTAGCTTCTGTAGAAACCAAGTGAAAGAATTCTCGTTTTGGTCCGCCCAAATCAATTGCATGTTCAAGTGCAAACTTTACCTATGCAATTTGACAAAACAATAACATAAATGAGTAACAGGCAGAAAACAGTAGTGCCTAGTCCTTTCCTATGCAAAAAGTGGTTGAGGCCAAAAAGCATACAATAAAAACTTTGCACTTCCCATGGCAAATCCATTTTAAAACACCAATCAATATGATATGATACATGATTAACGTGCTGACCTTAAGCAATTTCTTAGGAGAAAAATCCTCTTTTTTGCACTCAACCAAGGCATCTTCCAGTACATAGTCTCTCCGGACATCAATTCTAACAACTCCATCCAAAGCTAAATATAAAGTTGCAATGATCCCCTTCAAGGTCTTTGGACTATTATGAAAAGTATAAGCCAAAGTAACATAATTTTCTTTTACCGATGCTTAACTGTAGGAGGAGGAAGTGGAGGGATACTATCATTATCTGATTGATCTGAATCTGATCTGAATTCATCAAAAACTTCTTCATGGGCATAGTAATGTGAAGGTCCTGCATCATCATCATTACTACATTAACAAAAACTACCGTATAGCGGGAAATTTTGGAGGGAATTAAATTTGGCGAATTTGGCGTTTTGATAGCCATTCGCCAAAATTAAACCTGCCATTTTGAGCCATTATACGCATGCTCAATGCACGTGGCCACCAATTCGCCAAATTAAAATCCGCCAATCACCAAAATTTAGCAATTCGCCAAATTTTAGTCCCTCCAAAATTTTCCGCTATACGGTATCAGCATTTTGAGGAGTAATGCTTATACTTACAAGTCCATATTAATGGTGTTATTAATCGTTCCTTCGACCACACCATCACTACTACTTTGTGGTTTACCATTAGATACCCTGAAAAACAATAAAGGCAAAACAGTAGTACAAGTTGCTTACTCAGTGCATGTTACTAGGTGATCCTTTATCAAACTTATAGAAAATGATTTACCACATTTTAGACAATCTTCTGTCAGCTACAATAGGAATAAAAAGTACTACTTAATATTATTACACTAACCTCATCATCAAGGGAATCAATATTATCAAGAGGTAAATCGCACTGTAATGGTCGAATGAACGTTTTGGCAGACCCAGCAAGTGTCTTTAAATTGGAAGGTGAAGACAGAACTGTTGAAGGGAGAATTTCAAGCTTACGGGAGTTTGGCAAACATTTTTAAAAAATGAAACCACCACCATTCCTGAGCGGAGGAAAAGCACTATACAATATTTCTTTAAATTCGTCTCTTGTGATTTCTAAATCAGTGAATTCAATCACTTTTTCTCCAAGACCAGCCTTCATCAAACGGTGCTTTTCATCAATATTATTGTAACTAATACTCTGGTCCATGTTTGACAAGCACACAAAATTGTGCTTCCAAACAGGTCGTTTCTTGACACTAGTACAACTAGATGGCTGTAGAGACCTTTTCTCTCTCCTATGCCCCAATGATCCTCCTCCACTACATCTTGCTCTCCTTAAATTTTGAAGAGCATGTGAAGCAGCAGCTAGTACTATAATACAGAATAAAAACACATGTCTAAAATATTGACACCTTTCAATACCATTAACAAAAGACACAAATAAGCAAATAGTGTTACATGTCAAAAAAGGTTAGGGGTTGATCATTTTTTTAAATTGATAGCAAACACGCACACATAAAAGGCACATTAGGCCACATTAACTTGATTCTTAATTTCCCATTTCCCACCCGCATGCATACCACTATTAATTATTGTTTACATAAATTAGCACCCAACTGAGTTTATAATACCGGTAATAATAAAACATCATAATAATAGTATTCTATAACAATTAATTACATTGCCTGCCCACCCAAGCCTACTCAGTACTAGTAGTATACTCACAAGAAACAGACTATGAACCTAATTGCAACTGACTTAAAATACATCTAATATGAAACTCACGTGGGTCTCTAGGTCTAGCGGGCCGTATCGGTCCTGTTGGAGCAGGAAGTAGAGGCCGAGGTGGAGGTGGACCCGTGTCTTCGCTGTCGGCGCCGGGGGAAGAGACTAATGCACTTCCAACTGGCCCTGAATCCAGCAGCTCCATTACCCTGGAAAGGGCGCTCCTCAGGTCCTGGCTAGGCTGGCTATCACGCTGAGTCATTAGCAAACTCAAAAATACTTGTTTGCTCTGTCAGCACACACGCGTGACAACTGCATGACCTCCAATGAGCATGCGCATTAGCACTTGGCGCGAGGTCACAAACTCTGCAAAGATAATCTTCATGAAAAATAGCATATCCAAACGCTGACTACCAATTCAAAAATAGTTGTGGTGTCAAGTAATAATAATATCTAAAAAAACTTAGAGCTAAAAAGTAAAAAAATTGGTTAAAGAGCTTCCCAAAAAAGGCATGACCATGGCATGATTTTGTTATTTTTTTCTATTTTAATTGCAAAAAATATTTTCAATGTAATAATATGCTACTGAGTATGAAATGCAGGCATGACATATGAAGCAGTTCATGAGACAAAGTCCTTTCACTTGATCCAGGGATGAGAATTAGCAATACAGAAGTTGCATAATGATAAATAATTTTAAAAGTAAGTTAGCAGGGCAATTTTGATTGTTACCTGGGATCAATAGGCAGGCATACACAGTTACTTGTTATGAAAAATGAAAGTACTAAATTTGAACTAATAGCTACAGAGATAATCAGCTAAACATACTTTATGCATACTTAATAAGGGGGTGGGGCTGAAGGTTTTTAGCTGAAAACTCCAAGGTTTTACATCACAAGTCCCAAAAACTGCAATGATGTGCTTGATACAAAAATTAGCTAGTGCTACAGCAAGGCTGAAAGTTAAATGCAATGGTCCAGAAAAATTGTCTCAATATAGCTGATTTGCTTTTCAAGCCCTGTAAATCAATAAATGGTTACATTATGTCTGAAACAATGTTTTAGTCAAAATAGCTAAAATATAAAATTTGGTTGCAACAACCTTTCAACCTTGCTGTAGCACTAGCTAATTTTTGTATCAAGCACATCATTGCAGTTTTTGGGACTTGTGATGTAAAACCTTGGAGTTTTTAGCTAAAAACCTTCATCCCCACCCCCTCATTAAGCATGCATAAAGCATATTTAGCTGATTATATCTGTAGTTGTTGGTTCAAATTTAGCATTTTTATTTCTTATAATAAATAATTGTGCATGCCTACCTACTGATCCCAGGCAACAATCAGATTTGCCCTGCTAACTAAGTTAAAAAATAATTTATCATTATGCAACTTCTGTATTGCTAATTCTCATCCCTGGATCAAGTGAAAGGGCCTTGTCTCATGAACTGCTTCATATGTCATGCCTGCACTTCATAGTAGTAGCATATTATTATTGAAATATATTTTTTGCAATTAAAAACTGGAAAAAAATAACAAAACAATGCATGGTCATGCATGCATAGTCCTGTGCTCTTGATACTTGAATTATACTATAATCATACAGAGAAACATAAAATGGGAAAATATATAATTGAATTTACTTGAATGAAATACTTTATATCAGTAAGAGACAGAGACACTAAAAAGATAATGAAAAAGAAAGAGCAATAAGAGGGAGGTGCATAGCAGTGAATTGTAATGGTAAATCAAATTAACTTGAACAGCAATGGTAACTGTAATGCTATTCAGTGTGTAATGGCAATTACTTCATTTCATATACATGTACATGTAGATAAATCAGTGACATACATGTGGGCCTGTGTGTGCATGGCATACATTTTCGATATGCATCAAATGTCAAATATTATTGCACAACACTATTAAGTAATCAACTACATCACTGGTACATACACAATAGAGAAGAGAGGAACATTAACAAGGAGCAATGAAGTGGAGACAAAGCTTAAAAGACATAGACAGAGACTTGGTACATCAGGTGTTAAAGGGAGAGAAGAAGAAAGAAAATAATAGAGATATAGAGCAATATAAATGATGCACAGCCTAAGAACATGTACATTTTTAGTGGAAGAGAGAGGGATTAAAAGGGGAAGAGAGAGAGAGTGTGTGTGTGTATGATGAGGAGACTATTATATGTACAAAATCGCTAGAAGAGAAGTTTCCTTTTTTATTATTTTTTTCTGATACATGTTCTTATGTTGCATTAAAAGTTTGAGCTGATTTTGATCAAAATTAATTTTTTATGAATTTTTAATTGGTTCCAAATGTCATGTACATAATGATACCTCATCCTCTCACTCAATGTGTTTGTCACTCACTCACAGTCATGGTACTACAATACACAATAATACACTGCGTACATGTACAATGAAAAATGCTGTTTATTTAGCTCACTTAGCATGGGAATCTTGGATATGTAACATAAAGAGGGCTGGGGACATAATGAAAGAGCTCAAAGGTTAATGAGATTGAGACATAAAAGCTGCAACAGTAATAATAGTAATAATCATGACATGCTTTAAAGTACGGTAATTGTAATAATAGATAGTTTAAAAAAGAAGTGTTTTAAAAGGACCACAAATGTGATACAATGATGTAATGATTAATACCAATGTTTTAGCCATAATAGTACATGTAGTAGTTGCATTTGCATACATGTATGCTGTAAGACACCCACACATAGCTAATGCTTGATTTCTCAGGATGAAAATTCAAATTATTGGTAATTAATCACACCAAAAATTGTTGCACATTAAGGTTTCGTAAACAGCATACTTACATAATTATAAATGTAAGGTTTAATTGGCAAGTGAAGGGGCAGGGCAAGACTAAATTAGTGTGCATCAGCTACATGGTTACACTAATCTTTATAGCAGAAAATGGAAATACACAAGTAACACACCCCAGCATTAATATGTAATGCAAGTTATTGTCAAAAAGCAAAGTTCATGCAAAAACAATACATGCAATCGTGTCAATAAACCCTGCACACTAAAGATACTGTAGAACTTCAACATACTTACAAATAGTGGCTGTGTCAGGGTCTGGTAAGCCAAAGAAACTAACAGAGGTCCAGGAGAGACATCACTAGCCATTAGGGAGAGATTGTTACCATCCCGTAAACTATCCGTCAACGGACATTTACAGGCTTCGCCTGTATACTATACTGGGGCTTCGCCCCAGTATATTATCTTATAACAATATAGAAATTAAGTATAGATACGACAATCAGTGGGGTTGAGGCAGCAGGATCGTGGTGGCTCAGTGGGGAAGGCGTGGGGCAGAATGTGGACGTGGTACTGGTTCGAATCCAGCTCAGGGCAGGGCAAATTTGCTTTTCTTTTTTTTTTACTTTCAAAAATTTAACTTTTTACCTTTTCTACTTAGCCTTCTCCCCT